CAGTAGTAAACTACTGTACTGCACATGGTAAGTTATATTTTACTCCATAATACTCTGCTCAAAACTGAAAAACAACATACTATGGCGAACCGACAGTGGATTTTTGCAGACAGATTTTTAAACAGATCTGATTTCCATTTGTATTTAAATGGTCAAAATGTATCTATTACAGGTACAGAACAAACAAACGTTGGTCAAAAAATTACGTATCGATGCTCACAGTGCCGAAAGTTTCCTCAATGTGATTTTCAAACCCGTTGTTTAATGAAAGATGAGAGCGAGTACATCGTTTCAACATCAAATACATATAATCATTCGAATCGTAAGGCAACAACACGTGCGTGATCACCTGTTAGAGAAATTCTTGTTAAACCAGTAGCTGCAGGATTATCACACTTACAGGTTCGTCGAGCTGTTCAAATGCTCGTCGGCTGTAGTGATGCTGACAGAAAACTTCATCCATTTGGCGCAGCATTAATTGGAATAGATGAAGCAGCCAGTTCGTATATCGAGTTGTTTCAAACAATAAAAGAAACTGTACCAAAAATAACTGGTGATACATTTGATTTCTTTCTTTGCGCTTCATACGGTTAAATTTCTTATATTGCAGGCATTCCATACGAAGTGTCATTTCTAATGGGTGATGGTGGCATGGGAATTACGACAGCACAAAAATCTGAATTTTCACATGCTCGAGATTGATGTGTTGGGCGCATATGATTCGAAAATGCCGTGAGCATCGTGCAATGGTACCAAGAGAAAAATGGTCAATAGTTGAACGTGATATTTTGACTATCCAGTTATCGTTTGGTGACCATGTTTTTGATAAAGTGACAACATTATTGTTGGCAAAATGGAGAACTGATTCGGATTTCGCTGCATTTTCAGACTATTTTGAAAAACAATGGTTGAATGATTTAAAGTTTTGGTATGAGGGTACTGCTCTTGGAGTTCCATCCACAAACAATGGCTTGGAGTCATCATGGTTGTATGCTGGAAGATTGATCACCATACCTATGATGTGCTCATTCAAGACCGACTTGAAAACTTATATTTGCAAACACGCAGTTGGAATTATGATGCATTTTGGTTTTTATGTAGTATCGGATTCAGAAAAACTAGATGATTTAGGTAAACGACGCAGACGTCCAAAAAAGGCAACATCAGCTTTATGTCGCTAACATTATCATATTGTACATATGTAATTGGTTTTTTTGGTAGTATCCATTAAATACAGAGTCTCGCGAACAAACTGGGCACAAAACTCTTGTTTCTTGAAATTTCAATTAAAAATCGTAAACCGGGCACTAATCAACGTAATTGACGGGCATATATTTTTTTCCGGGCACAAATCAGTAGCATCGGGCACAAAAAATAATTTTCTCATATATCTTGACTATGGTTCGGTCGTTAATAATAAATATGCTGCTTCTGATATAAATGTTCTATTTTTGTATCAATTTCTTTTAATGAATTGTAATATGCTTCGATGTTGCTAATACCGAAAATATTTAAGTATAATGCAAAATCGATTTCATCAACATCATTTGCGTATTTGTTTTAAATATGATTCGAAATAATTCGCGTCGTTTACTAACAAGCTTTTTCCCAAAACCAGAAGTTTCATTTTACTAAACAATCTACATACTTTATACACATCAGTCATATTGTAACCATTTAATGACTTGCTTAACTTCGTCGACAATAATACAACTGATGATATTAATAAAATTTTTCAACATACAGCTTTCATATCGTCCGGCATACAATGTTGAACAGAAAGCTCAAACAGAGCTGCAACCGGTCAACAAAGCTATGACGGATACCGAGCAGATACTTGTTGACTGGATCGAACCAGCCGGTTGATCGGCAACTTTCCTAAAAATTTTGATCGGTTAGTGAATCGTACTCGGAGTTTTCAATAACTCGTTTAGGATGTTGAAAAATATGAACGTTCTAAGCAAAGAATAATGAATGCAATTATTTTCTTATTTTGAGCAGTACAAAATGTTATTAAAAGTCGACTTTTTTTTCGGTCGTTTTTTTTAATTATAAGCTCATGCCCGGTACAGTTCATGCCGGTATGAAATGAGCTAATACATGCATGAATACACAATGCTCTGTTATATAAAGTTAAGAATAATTTTCCGCATCATGATGAGCACTTTCTGAGAAGATGCTCACTGAGAACTTTTTTATATATACATCGCTTAGTCAATATTTGTCAGGAAATTCTATTTCGAACGATATTGCCTTTTGTCTAATCATTGCGGACCACTGTAAGAGTTATCCTTTCCCTTCCTTCACCATAATTTTCTGGAGTACACTCAAGGCTGCAGTAGTCAGACAGAAATAATGTCAACAGTTTACTTCGACGTTCCTGAAGAACTTTTCCCCTTTCTGTTTCTCATACAACACAAAATCGCAAACTACCGAGAATTTATCGACATATACTCATTTCATCTCATCTTCACACCACGCCAAATTTGGACATGGATCCGCTCTAACTATTACGGTTCCCAGAATAATCAGGTTCTACCAGCCATTTGTAAGTATGATAAAAAGGTAAAAATCATACATTGCCTGAGTTTAATCAGTGATATTGACAGCCATATATCTGAAAAACTAAAAGCGATTCTTTTCTAAAAAAAGATTAGTGTAGTGTGAAGCTTGTGTACTTCATACTAGAGATGGGCCGTTATACGTAAGCTGCAAAAGAAGGAAACGAAAGCTTAATCGTTATTTATTACAGCAAACTACGTTTCCTTTATATAAGAGTAAAAAATTCGAGATTAATAGTTATATGAATAAACGTCAGGAAAGAGAGAAGAAGGAAAGCTTTACGATAGAATTGACTATAACACCAGGGTGGCCAGATGAAAAAATTCAAAATCAGAAAAAAAAATTGGAAAATCAGAAAATTTCCCTATCAAAATCAGAAAGTGGATTTAATGCGGCAGCTAGACAAACATGTTTCGTTCAACATATAATTTATCAGTCCTTTTATTGAACTGTATTATCGTTTTATGTAGATAGATATCATGTGGATAATATCGTATCAATAGTAATAATTCGGGCATTCATATGAGAACGAACTAGCACGTTTGAAACGGAAGAAATGAAAATCAGGAAAATCAGAAAAAATCAGAAACCAGAAAGCCATCAGAAAAAGTGTTCAAAATCAGAAAATTTCTGAAAAATCAGAAGATCTGGCCAGCCTGTATAACACATTAGTCGGGTTTTAAGTTTTGATCCAGAGTTATTCGTGAATTATAGTAAAGAGCTTGATTAAGCAACAAAGAATAGGATAACAAAGACAAGATGTACAACAAAACTATTCAATCTAGTTCATATTTTGATTTGAAAACAGTAGTATATTAGTATTATCCGGTGTTAATCATAAGCGGAAAAAAATTATATGTATGTCGCGTACCGATACATATAGAAAGTAAAACAGGTTTCTTTTGCTAAGCGATGTATATTTTAGATATAGAAAATTTACAGATTTCGTTATTGCGTTTAAGAAAAGACTAGTGATCTATAAGGAGGATCAGTTCAGTGAACCTGGATTTTCATTAAAATTTTTAATGAACTTCTTCTGCCGTCAAAAATTTTTTATTAGCACAGCTTTAAACTTGTAAATACATATAAATAAAACTGTAAAAATATTGCTCATTTGCTAAGCAGTTGCTAGAGAGAAACCAGACTTATATTTCTTTTCCATATATCTCAATTTAATCATTGTACGAAAGACTCTGATCGTAATGAAGGAAGACACATGTCTTTCTCTAAATGCAAATAGTATGATGGCTGAAATAGATACTGATGTTCGCTTATCAAATGTAAAAAGTATTATTAAACTTGATTTATTGACTTTCGTTACATCACAAAAATAGCCTGCATTTGTAGTTATTGTTGATATCTGGCTTAATATTTCTGTATCCATTAACGACCTAATGATAACAGGCTATCAGCTACCTGGTACAAAAAATAGAAAAGGTGGTACTAGTGGATATGGTGGTTTATTTGTGTATGTAAGAAATGCTATTATTTCAAACAGATTTGAGCAACTTGAAACTAATCCATTTTAAACATGAGTGTGACTTCACCGAACATGTGGATGATGTTATAAGCGAAGTTAGGTCATGTACAAAATACAGCTTTAATGAAATTCTTATATTGGATGATTTTAATGGACATTGTTAGCTATGATATCTGACTTCTACTAAACCTTCTAATAGAGCAGGGTTCGAATTGTGTGACTTCTTAGAGAGGTATACTCCTTATCAACTAGCCTTGGCATCAACCTTGCGCACTCTGATCGTTTGATCCCGCATTATTCGGACACTGATTCTTGCCTGAGCCATACCCGCCCTGATTGCTGTTTGAGCCTTGTCCACCCTGATTGTTTGGTGCGGTGCTTGCGATCATCTATTTGAAAGAATGTCTTTACTATTTCTTCCGATGATGAAACAATGAAATGACTGACTTAAGTGTGGGAATTTCTTGCCCCAATATGACTTGTTCATATTCCCGACGTTTCGTTCGTTCGTGATCTTCGCTCGGATCAATCGGTTGATTACTAGCGGCCGAACCAGCAGCTTGAGCATTGATCACAGCATGAGATCCACTAGTCGAATCGATGCGAATTGGCGAGTGATTCAATCAAATGAGTCGATGTAATCGCATTGATCAATTGAGAAAATCGTTTCGCAATAGTTGAATGGAGATGAATATCGATTCCTTTGATATCCATTGATTGAAAAACCATTTCGGACTCGTCGAATTGGCGAGATGTATCGGTCGTTAATGCAGGAGAGATTGACTAATCGGTACACAACAAGCATTCATAAGAATATTGTTCGCCGACGACGATCAAATCAGTTTCCAATTTATATCGGTTTGTTTGAAATGTTCCTTAAAACGTAAGCAGAAACCTTTCTAATGAACCGAAACTAACAACTGTGCCACAGGAACAAGCCGAGATGGTGGTTTCATCCAATGCGAAAACCAGAAAATCGCCACTCTGATCTCTAGTAACCATCGATTGCTGTGGACTGAGCATTTGCGGTGCGAGTGTATCGACATTGATTCTCGTCGGCGGAAGGTATTGTTGCAGTGGAATAGCAATGCCCAAATCGACGATATGCAATTGAAACATTCGATTGAGTTCTTTCGTCACCATCGGTGATGTTTGAACGGTGACAATCGAACGAATACGCGACGATTCGGCTGTGATCGGCGTGTTTCATTCTAATGCTCCTAGTTCTTCTTGGAATTAAACCAGAAGAGAATTCCTACGAGAGAGGGAGAATGCATTGAATCGCTCGTGACGATGGCACCCGGTTGCCAGTCGAAACTCACTTTGGTCAAGCGAATCAAATCGGCTTCGTCTTTCTTGATCATCCGACTATCACGGAGAAGTTCAATCAAAGCTCGACTGAAAATCAACTCGAACTAATCTGAAACGAATTCTTGAGCAGAACTTTGTTCTTGAAATCCGCCGGTGTGCAACAATTGCCGAGACTCAATTTGATGTCGAGTGACTGTTGAAGATTCACATCGGAATTCGTCAGTTGAACCAGCATCGGTGATTTCTTCTCGGCATTGTTTTAACGGACAACGTGCTTTTTTTCGTTTTTTCCTTTCACTACCTTTATATTATTAATACGTGCTTACTATTGATGTAGTGGGTTAAAGAAAATGGTGAGCATGACAGGGCACGTTTTTCTTTCTACTATAAAATTTCGGGGAACAAATCTACTGGGACAAAATGGCTACTATGCGTATACCGGTTCGAATATTAATAATTGGAATGAATGCAGAAATAAATTCAACGGTCACTGCTGGTCTTAATGAAGATAAATCAATATCAGCACGTGGTTTTATTGTGTCGAACAATCCAGAGAGTGATGCAGAATTAATCAATGTTATAAAAGAACAGGAATATGATGCAATTATACTTGGCAAAGGTCTTCGCATTCAAGATGGTTGGTTTGAACGAATTGAAAGTATTGTTAAGAGGAATAGTGATGTGCCCGTAGTGGAAGTTCAAGGACGGACAGCAGATGCTGTTAAAGAAGCTCTGCAGGTTAATGGTATTATGAAGGGATGACAAAGTGGACTGGACATTTCTCAAGCGAATTTTGATATTCTTTTCTCATAGATGTGAATTTCGAAATAAAATGCTATTTTAAAAACCAAATATTTTCGTCCGTGTTTCTTTTAAAACTGAGCTATGAGCATTTGAAAAAGGCGAGATCTTACTTTATAGCGGCCGTTTTTGTCTTATGTGATTTCCTATTCGCAATTAGTGTATTCATGCTGGTATCGAACGTCAGATAGTTACTTTCTTCAATGACAAGCATTTCAGACGAGTCTGCCAGGTGCTTTTGGAAGCAAGTCATGTGTGGTGAATATCACCAATCGGATAATAAAAAAGTACTTCTTCCTCTTGTCATTAGCACTTCTTTTAAAAGAGGCTGTTGCGACTTTCAGAATGCTTGAAAATATAATAGATGTAGTATTCATTCGTTAAACGACTCAAAATCTGTTTAAAAATCTGTCTGCAAAAATCCACTGTCGGTTCGCCATAGTATGTTGTTTTTCAGTTTTGAGCAGAGTATTATGGAGTAAAATATAACTTACCATGTGCAGTACAGTAGTTTACTACTG